GCCTGGGTACTGTCCCAGCATGCCCGGCTAGCCTGCTTCACCGCTCTCTGTACACAGGGCCAGGTCACCTGACAGGCTGAGTCCTGTTGTCTGGAGCTCCCAGGAGGATTCTGCCTGTGGTGGGGATTTTCCATAGTAGTGTCCCTGCTTGAGTGCCTGCTGCCCAGCCTCCCTGCACATGTCTGGCACCTGGACAGGGGACCCCCTTCCCAGCCAGGGGCCAAGGCTAGGGGACTCCGGCTGATAAGGGTAGAGCCATTGGCCCCTCCCACAGGCATACGCTGGGTTGCAGTCTATCTTCTTTCCCTTTGCAGTTGCATAACTGCCTGCAGAGACTAAGCCTGGCTGTGTCTAATTCCCATGTAAGACTTGGGAGAAGTGAGCCACAGGTCCATGCGCAGGGATGTTCCCAGCTTTGGGGCCCATCACTGGTGCTGTGAGGGACAGCACACATCTTGCAGCTGCCTCAAAATGCTTCCCTCCTGCCTTGCACACAGACACGGGGGCTGCATACAGGCCCATGGGGGAAAGAAGTTGCATCTGCAGCATGGAGGGGTTGGGAGGCATCTGGCTCTGAGGGGATTCTCATGGCTCTTGCTACAGAAAATGAAAATTGTGTTTTCCCTCAGGCTCCAGCTGTCATATAATCATAGAAAGTTAGGGTTGGAAGGGACCTTAGGAGGTCATCTAGTCCAACCCCCTGCTCAAAACAGGACCATCTCAAACTAGATCATTCCAGCTAGGGCTTTGTCAAGATGGGCCTTAAAAAACCTCCAAGGAAGGAGATTCCACCATATCTGTAGGTAACCCATTCCAGCGCTTCACCACCCTCCAAGTGAGAGAGTTTTTCCTAATATCCAATGTAAACTTCCCTTGCTACAACTTGAGACTGTTGCTCCTTGATCTGTCATCTGCCACTACTGAAAACAGCTTAGCTTCATCTTCTTTGGACCCAGAACTAGACGTAGTTGAAGGCTGCTATCAAATCCCCTCTCAGTCTTCGTCTGCAGAATAAATAAACCCAGTTCCCTCAGCCTCTCTTCATAAGACATGTGCCTTAGCCCCTGAACCATTTTCGTGGCTCTCTGCTGGACCCTCTCCAACTTGTCCACTTTCTTTCTATAGGAGGGGGGGCCAAAACTGGTCATAGCATTCCAGATGTGGCCTAACCAGTGCAGTATAGAACAGAATCATTACTATCCTTGATCTGCTGGCAGCACTTCTCCTAATGCAGCCCAATATGCTGTTAGCCTTCTTGGCAACAAGGACACACTGTTGGCTCATATTCAGCTTACCATCCACTGTAACCCCCAGGTCCTTTTCTGCAGAGCTGCTGCTTAGCCAGTCAGTCCCTAGGCTGTAACAGTACATGGGATTCTTCTGTCCTAAGTGTAGGACTTTGTACTTGTCCTTGTTGAACTTCATGAGATTTCTTCTGGTCCAATCTTCCAATTTGTCTAGGTCACTCTGAATCCTAGCCTTGCCTTCCAGTGTATCTACTACATCCCCCAGCTCGGTGTCATCTGCAAACTTGCTGAGGATGCATGCTATGCCATCTTCTAGATTGTTAATAAAGATGTTGAGCAAAACTAGCCCCAGGATCGACCCCTGGGGCACTCCACTTCATACTGGCTGCCATCTAGACTTTGAGCCACTGATTACTACCCATTGAGCCTGACAATCCAGCCAGCTTTCTATCCACCTTAAAATCAATTAATCTAACCCATACTCAGGGTTGAATTAATGTATAGGCAAACTAGGCACATGCCTAGGGCCCTAAGTGAAGAACAAGTCCAGTTGTGCTTATTTTACATATTATAATTATGGAATGAAAAAAGTAGGGGGCAATGTTCTGCCCATACTTCCTCAG